CCTAATAGCGCAAAAAAATTTTTCAAACTTAATGAATAAAAGTAATTCTTTCTTGGAAAGAATCACGACAATAAAATTATTAAAAACACTGATAAAACAGAGTATTAATCTCCATGATTATCTCTATATTTCAGAGGTTATAGAAAACTGCGGTGAATAGAAAAAGTTGCAAAAAAATTTCGACAGAGCATTAAGTAATTGATTTATTCGTCCACGTATCACAAAATACTTTTATTATTTAAATTGGAGTAACTCTAAATTCTATATGTAAGTAAGCTTCGAATGGATAATAGCAGTTTATCCGAGAGGATAATACGGTAATTCGGAGAGCAAATATAAGTATGACTCTCGTACATGACCTTATAAAATAAGTATTAAAAATGATGTCCTTCTCCAATTGATGTAATTAATCAATTTAAAACGTGTTCGCGTTAGAGAAATGTTTTATTGTAATCAGGACGGTCTTACCAACACGTGTCAAATATTTTAAATTTCTCTACATATGACTAAGATGTAGTCTTAAAAATTGATATTTCTACTATAAGAATATTTACAAATAATTAATTGAAAAAAAAAAAAAAAAAAAAAAAAAAAAATTATTATTTCAACCTTTTTAATAATTAATTGTTACAAATACTAATATTATTGTTTAAATTAGATTATAAATTTTCTAAAAAAAATTTCAAAAATTGTATTGGTATTGTTTAGAAATGAAAATATCATGAGCATATTCCGTTAAAAACGAGTGATTATCTATTATCTATTAAATTAATATCTTAACAAACATTTTTGTAAAAAAATTTTTTGTCGAAAAGACTTATTTATCATTATTATTATAAAAATGAATTATTCTATAAATCTCGTTATAATATATGAACGTAAAGATAAATGATTCTTCGATACAATTAGATGAAACTAATTTTTGTCTTTTACATTTGCATGATATTGATCGATAAAACTTTTGCGATAAAAGCGTTAAAAATTATGTAAATAAAAATTTCATTATAATTGAGAAGTAATGTATTGTAAGTTCTCTAAGACTTTAACTATTAATAATAATAATAAAAAAAAAAATTTCATACAAACGAAATTATTATGCTTAAGCAAATAATTTTTAAAAAGATGTAGATATTAATGATCCATAGAAACATATAAATAATTTACTTCATTTAGCATTAATTATCGTATTAATTCGAATGAAGTTTGAATATTAATTTTCATGAAGTAATAGGTTGCATTTTTTTTTTTTTTTTTTTTTTTAAGCAATTTTGACGATTTCTATTACATATGAAAAATCATAAAATAATAATAAGAAGAATAAGAATAATAATAATAAGAATAAGAATAAAAATTCATAAAATATAGATGCATTATGCATGAAAACAATTCGGAAGACTAAGTACAAAGTGCATATGTATAATTAATTTATATTTGATAAGATTAAGACATAATAGACGTGTATATAAAGTGAAAAAATATTCATTAATATAACAATGAAATTAATTCAGTTGCGAAGCAAAAGTTATGTTAATCAAAAGCTTGCAAACAGATATGTAGAGTAGATGTACAATGATGCATAACGTAAAGTATAAACGATATTGTAATATAATTAATGTATAATGTTATGAACATGCAATTAAAAGTAATTTTTCCAAGAATTGGATGCTAGTTTCTTAAAAATCTTACAAATCGAGTCGCAAATTTATAAAACAGCTTATAAATTTACGATACTGCCTTAATCATTTAATTAACTCGAGCAAAGAATTTCTATTGTATGGCTATTACAAGGGACGTAAAATTTCTCTTTTTCGATATTTCACTTCAATGCGAGTCTCGTAAATCTTATAAAATTATAATTAATACAAATTAAAATTTTGTATTAATAAAACATTTAACATGCTATTACTAAGTCTTCGCCATTTTATTTTTTACATGATAGTTCGAAACTAGTAATATGATAAATAATTTAATGTAACATATTTGGCGAGCAAATACTGAAAATGTATGCATAAAAAGATTATTGCTGCTTAGAACGTATTTATATAAATAATGAGATACATTGATCTGCCAAGCGTAAATTTCTAAATCTACCGATATTAATTATATGATATACCGTGTGGAGAAAGTTGAATAGAATATTTACAAATATGCATCTTTTAGCGATGCAATCACACACAGATACCGTTCGATGATACATAATAAAATAAAGAAAATACAATTCGTTATGAAAAATAATTTTTATTTTTAATTTAATTTAAATCATTAATCTTAACTTTCTTTCTTTTTTTTTTTTATTTTTACCCTGTAATATGATTAATGTCTAACAAGTTTAAAAAGTTGTGGCGATGGTGAGTCATTGTTCGATAGAAATCTTTTGCTGACAAGTTATATTATTGTTATAAGCAAACGGATAATAATTTAAAGGTACAAAACATTACGATTAAAAAACGTCCGATCCTAATTATTTTGTTTCATAATAAAAAGTTGCTTTCTCATTTCATTTAATCAGAAAGAAGCCGATAGTATGTAAAATATAAACTTTTAATTGGTAAACTAATCATGTGATTTTTCTTTTATTCAACTATAAATTATAATCCATAGTAAATTTAAAAAATGGCAATTAATTATAGCAATAATATGCATCAAGTCTGTAGTTGTAATATGAAAATTATTGGTAATAAATCATTGGTGTTTGTATTTATATTTTAAAATGGATTGTTATATTTGTTTGTTATATATTAGATTATTATATATGTTTAAATGATGTATTGTCTTTACATTAACTATTGCAAGTTGTCGCTCGATCAAGTATCGTTCAATTATTATTTCATTCAATCACAGAAGTCTAATAGAAATTGTACTTTAATTGTTTAAGCGCGCGGTTCTATCGATCAAAGGAATTTCGTCTTTATGAGGGAGGCAATGGTCGTTTATGCAATAATTGTTTACATTCCAGAGCTAAAAGTCTCTATTTCATGGACAAAAAGTAGTATTCATTATGTGGTCAGCTTTCTCCGTTTATTATCGAAAACTATTTGATCATTGAATATACTCATTGGTACTTCAGCACATTCGTTTATTATGCCTTTTTTTAACCTTCATTTTTCTCGATTATCGCATTGTAAAAAAAATTTTCACAATCGCTAAGGAGATGGAATATCGACGAAATACATTTCCATTCGTAAGAATATAAAGTGGAAATTAAGCTAAGCCGTGCATTAGCATTTGAAGTCACCGTATCGTACCGATGCAAATGCAAATGCAAATTATGAATGGCCGTCGATAAAGGAGTGGCCGACGATATCGGCACAACGACGGCGACGCTTAAAAGCTGCGTGTTGCATGCACTTTCAATGTCCTTGGGGGAGTTTTGGCTCATTTGATCGTCGCCGACAAAACATATTTGGAGGTCCTTGCGTATAAGCCGCTATTAAGGTAGGCATTTATATAAGTGGTTGAACTCGCATGAAAATATCGCCTCGGTTCACCTGTAAATCCACGCCGTTGGGATTAATCGTTAAGATTGCGCCTCGGCTTAGCTTTTAACGGGGGCGGACGGCTGAGGGGTCGTCCGTCTTTATTTAAGGAGTAGGGATCGCATATTAGCCACTTTTTGCATACTATTAGCATATTGACCATCGTTGTTAGACCATCGCTCGAAATCAATAAACAATATCCATTATGAGGATGAGGATAGACTGCTCAAAGGCTCAAAGGTGTCGGGTGATAAAGTAATATCGTTGCGTGGCTTCGGCACACTGCGCTTACACAATCACACGGCGACGAGATATTGATAACGCAAATAGCAGGCAGGTAATGATGATAGTTAGACCGAGCCGATATTTGCCTTTAATGGACCTAGGGAATGGACGAAAGCAAAAGGAATGAGAAAGAAATGGAGATGGAGAATCGCCCCTCGCTCGAGCTTCAGCAACGCGATCAAACGGCTCGGAAGAG